CCTTATCTTGCCCTTATCTCTCTTTTCCCTCTTACTCCCTTGAAGCACAGGAAAAGGCTTTCTCTGACATTCCCTTATATGTCTAAAGATACATCCTCCAACAAGAGATTTCATTGTCATGTACTCTCCGCCAGTTCCAGCAATCCTATCAACTGTGAAAGATTAACTGCGTTGCAGGAAGAGAGTGACACTATGGACTTTGGCTCACATCTATTATTTTGAGGGCCCCTCCATGCAATTTTATCACCTGAGAGACTTTTTCCCTGTGTTAGAGAACCCATATTCACCATACATCCCTTCCCCTGCCACACCTTGTGTTACCCACTTTCTCTCCAGAAGCACTCAAGCCCTTTTTCCTTTCTATAGCTCAGGACGCCATATACACTTCAAGCATCAGGCTTTGAGTTCCACATTTTGTGGGGCTGCAGTGCATAAGCACGTAATAAATTTATATGGTTTCTCTCCTGTTAATCTGTCTGCTGTCAATTCATACATAAATTATTGAACATTCAGAGAGTGGAGAGAATGTATTTCCTGCACGATAGTTTATAAAAATCTTATTTCAAGATAGCAAAGGGAGTTACAAAAATGTGTGTTGTAAACAGGGGTGTTGGATCTGGTTGGTTTGGGAGTTAACTGATCTACAGGCAACAAAGTTTGTGGGTGAACAGTAGGTTCTGTGTTCATTCTCAAACAAGCCCTACAAAGAGCCAGGGTACACTTAGATGCAGAGGCTTGCCTAGAAGGATCAGTCAGCTTGTTGGGGATGGAAGCCAGATCTACTACAATAAGGTGACAGCTGGACTGGGCTTATCACAGAGCTTGGTGTGAAAGCTTTGAGTTACTAGGAAGTAGTTCTTCTGTGGCTTTTATGGGCCAGGCCCCATAGGTGTGGGTACAATTGTAACAGTCCTAGGGGAGATGTTATTAACTCTCATTTTACAAGGGAAGGAGGCCAGCTCCAACAGTTAAAACAACTTGCCTGCACCCTATTCTGCTTTCCTGCAGGCCCATCTGACAAACCCAATATGGCTGAGATGGAGAAATTTGGAAAGTTGAAATTGAAGACAGAAATGCAAGAGAAAAATCTGCTGTGTTTAAAAGAAACAAAGGGACAGGAGAAGAAAGCAGGCAAGTGGGAATGAGGCCAGTAGGCACGGTTCATTCTGTAACCACTGACTTCTTATTTTCCTTCTTTTAGCTGTTTGACTTTTTAAAATGCAAAGGGTAGGTCAAGTTTCAACAACCGTGTTGCCTTTTCACATCAAAGGATGGAGAACGCCTGACAACCAAGGCTATGCGTGCCTCTCCCATCTGCCGGCCTGGCTGGCAGGGAAGGAAAATAACTCACATGGTAGTGAAGGAAGAAGCTGGGTGAGATGATGTGAAATTAGGGGGAACATCCAAGCCTGTTCCCAGTGCCTTGTAGGATGCAAAATGTGGATTAATCAGAATGTCATCTTTAAAATTCAAATGATCTTAATTATTGGAGCACACACACTTAAATATATAAATAAAATGTTTTTTAAATCTGGAACACCAACAGGCTGAAGGGCCACGGTGATTTCTGAGCAGAGGCCACTCCACTTGCCTTCAAAGCTATTCTGTCATCTTAGCTCCCTGCTGGTTTCCTTTGGCCAAAGGAAATTTGAATTTGTTTGGTTTTTGATAAAATCACTGTTTTTGATGTTTCACGGGGAGTGATTGTGCAGCCCGCAGTGGGTGCCTCTGGGAAGGGTGGGGCTTCCATGAAGGAAGTCTCTGTTCTCTGAGGTTTGGCTATTTTGACTTTGGGAACTGGTGTCTGGGATACAAAGTTGGGAAGGCTGTGGGCCCACACAAGTTGCCTGAAAACGCAGTGGCTCGTTCCCCTTGGCTCACTGCAGGAGCTCTGCTTCCTGTTGTGGGTGCTCACGCACGCCAGTGGTCTGCAGCCTTCCTCCCCCTTGATGGTCAGCTCTGCCATGACTTGCTCTGCTGGCTGCTGGCACGGCTTGCTGGTTTCCTGCTCCTGTTGAGGCGTCCTGGGCTCCCGGCTGAGTGGCTTCCTACAGGGGGCACTCCTACAGACCCTTCCTTTCCAGTGGGGCTCCGAAGCTGCCTGTTCCTCAAATCTGCTCATGGCGCTGTCCTGAGGTGAACTTCCAAATATGATCCTCAGTTGAGCAAGGGATGTCAGGAACAGGAGTGGAGAGATGACGCATTCCTGCATTTTTAGAGTGCGAGGGATGTCATTTGACCTGGCCACAGGTGGGTGCCATTTTAAGCAGAACCAGATTTGCTGGCATGAGTGATTTTAACGATCAGCGAGCCGGGTGTGATGGCACATGCCTGTAACCCCAGCACTCGGGAGGCCGAGGCACAAGGATTGTTGTGAGTTTGAGACCAGCCTGGGCTAAAAAGTGAGCTCAAGGCCAGCCTGAACTGCATAGCGAGACCCTGTCTCAAAAAGACAAAACAAAACAAAACAAAACAAAAAAAAATTGGTAGACGCAAATATGGAAGTGAAATTCTTCCATTGTAGACAAAAGAAGCCATAATGGGGAAGCTCCAGAGCATTTTTTCTCCACCCCACCCAATGCTCTACGGCTCTCTGCATCAGCAGGACTTTCTCTTCCTCCCCTGTTCTTTGCAGTCACTTCTAATCCCTGCCAATCTTTTGTTATCGTACAAGGTGCCACGATGATACAGAAGAACAAATTAGGTGGCAGTAGTTGTCCCCTCACACATGTACCTTTTCTTCTCAGCCTTCTTGAACTATCTCAAACAAACACACACTCATAATAAAATTGTGCCTTGGGCCAGGGAAATAGCTCAGTGATATAGCGCCTGCCTGGCAAGTGCAAGGTCCAGAGTTTGATTCTCAGCACAAAAAACCCCCCAAAAACAACAGAATGCCTTTTCTATAAATAGGGTTGTTAAAATGTAGATTCTGATTCAGGAAGTCTGGACTGGGCCTCCCAAACCCTTTATTTCTAACAAGTTTCCCAATACTGCTCTTGGGAAACCACACTTCACTTACAGAAGCTCCAGGCAACCTCACCTCTGCCTCCTACCAGCCATCTAAGTCCTGCTGATGTTGTTCCAAAAACAGGACTGGGAGATAGGGTTGGCAAGGCCTAAACTCTGTCTCCGTCTCTCCCTGTCTTTCTCTGTCTCTGTCTCTGTCTCTGTCTCTGTCTCTGTCTCTGTCTCTCTCTCTCTCTCTCTCTCTCTCACACACACACACACACACACACAGACACACACACACACAGACAGTGCCTCAGACTCACAGTTGCAGGCCCAGACCTCCATGTTGCAATCTGAGCTTTGCTAGGAATGGCCAGGGCTTGTACCCCTCTCTGGGCTGGTTACCTCTCTCATCTTGGGGCCCCTGTTTACCAGCTGGGGGATGATGAGATGAGAGTCAGCTGATCTAGGCAAATCAGGACATAAAAAGGACTTTGTACATAAAGGTGCCTGGCGTAGTTCTTGGCAAAGTGAAGGCCAATCGACACAGCTGAATTGGCTCATGCTTCTGGGAAGAACTAGACTGCCTGCCCTGTGTGAGGGTGTGGGAAGGAATCCTGGCTCTGCCCTCCAGTCATCTGTGTGCACAGATTCTAGATTAAGAGATGTGAAGGTAGCTAAGGGGACTGAGTAGGGGCAGTTCTGATGAAGAAGTAAAACTTGGAGACTTAGTTCCCTGTTATACAAGTAGGGGATGAGGAGTGTGTGGAGGGCACACCTGAGGTGACTCCTGATCAGTAGGCTTGCAGGGGGTCCCCAGGTATCTTCTGACCCCACAACACTGAGAGTGCACATCTGCTGGGAAACAGCACTGGGAGGGGTGCGGGTATTGGAGTGTCAGTGCCTGATTCAGGGGCTCTGGGTGGCAGAGCTGTCTGGGACGTCTGGTGAGGTGGGGGTGAAGGAGGCCAGAGATGAACTTCTCCAGGGCCTTAAGCATTCTGGCTGTGAAACTGAGACATGCTATCAGAGGAGGGCAGCTGTGTTAACAAGGAATTTCACCTTAAAAACACCAGGTAGGGATAATGAGGGTAGTGATGGAACTGGCTACCCTCATTGGTGACATTTCCGTTGGAGGCTCAGGATTCTGTCCAGGTATTTAAATCCATTTTTTAAATCTATTGACAAAACATACTACAATATGCAGGTCGCTGATGTAATCACGTTGTCTTCTGTTTCCACTAAATTACTAGTGTTAAGACCTCACAGGAAAGGCATGGAAAACCTACTTGAGAGCCAGTTTTCTTTTAAACCTGGAAATGAAAGGTACCCTTGTGGCACTGATGGGTCTTTCCCCCAATATTAGATGGTCTCCAACATCACTTGTGAAAATAGGTAGCATTTTGCTCAATGCCTGTCATTTCTGCTGGGGTTTTTTGGGTAGTGAATAGGGAGGCTGGGATGCTATTTCCATTAAACAAGTTTACAGGCTGCTTTTCTTTCTTTTCCATGGACTTTGCTGGAAAAATCAAGTTTCTGACTCAGGAGAGAAACAAGGATCAAGTTTCATGGTCACTCATTCAAAGTCTCAAAACCCTCGTCTAGGGACCCAGGCCAGGTGCCTGTTAGGATCAGTTTGATCACTGACTTTTTCAGGTTCTCCAAAGTGACTTACTGTCACCAGAGATTTAGTTTCCAAAATTTATTTTTATTAGTACATGTTTGGAGTACATGGTGATTACATTCATGGTGGGCAGTTGGTACACGTACATGACACATCTTAATTCTTGGTTTTTAAGAAAGGTAGTTTTAAAGAGAAGATAATAACCATCTAGGGTGACTGTAGCCTAAGGCCAGATGGCAGACACCTGCCCTGGTGGGCCAGGGAGTCCCGGCCCGGCCAGCAGGCGGCGCGCACGTGTTGTGGGCCGGGAGGAGCCGGTGAGCCGCGCGCCGGGCGGAACGTGCGCGCGGCTGTAGCAGCGGAGACTCGCACGCAGGCGCTGAGGGAGCCACTTCCGGGAGGGGCGGGGCCGGCGGTGACCCCGCCTCCAATCTCTGCAGAGGCCGGGGCTGTGGAGAGATCGGCAGTCTTGGCGGCCGGCGGGTCAGTGGCGCGCTGAGGTAGAGACGCGGGAGCTGGTGCTGCTCGCGAGGAGGCGCGCCCGCGGGAAGGAGCGAGCCAGCTGGTTCCGGTCTGAGGAGGTGGAAGGGCCGCCGCCGCGGGCTCGGGCTGAGGGCGGGGGGCCGGGAGGAGGCGGGTCGGGGCGCCGGCGGCGCGAGGGGAGGCCCGAGCGGACGGAGCGGGGTTGGAGTCCCCGGCGCGCGGCGCGGTCCCCGGACGGGAGCTGGGGGAGAATGCACCAGTGCACCCTGGATCAATGCCCCAGCGTTCGACCCCGGGCCGGTTGTGGGCCCGGGAGGCCTCGGGCTCGAGAACCCCAGCCGGAGGCTGCGGGGCGTGTTCTCTAGCGTCTATCCGTGTGTGGATCCCGGCGGCTCCGCCGTGGGAGGGAAGCCACTTGCAGCGGGATTGCGATGTTCTGGTTTGGAGTGGAGCACGATACAGTTTTGGGGGGTGAAATCTGAGTCTTCCAAGGCGGGGGGCGCACCCCATCTTGGCTGCTCTGCCGAATCTAGGCGGACCGTCGAGACAGTTTGAAGTCTTAGAACTAAACAAACCTGTTTCCCTTTTATAGACCCTGAAAAAAGGGGGAACCGAGAGGACGTCGGAAGGGGAAGATGCCTGGTACGGACCTTCTGATGTTGGTGAGTCTTTCCCAGATGCCTGAAGGTTTATTTTTAGTCCAAAGGATCTCCTTAGCCGAGCGTGGTGGCACATGCCTGTAATCCTAGCACTCAGGAGGGAGGCTGAGGCGGGAGTATCGCTGCGAGTTCGAGGCCAGCCGGGACTAGTCATTGAGAACCTGTCACAAAGAATGCCCCCCGCAAAAAAAAAAAAAAAGCCGCAAAGGACCTCTTTGTGGCAATTTCATCTCTGATGCACACTTTTGCTAGAGGAGCTTTTCTGCCACCTGTTTTAGGGTGGGGGTTGATGATCAGGATGCATACATGCTTGAGTTAAATATACAGTATATAGAACTTAAAAGTTCTTAAAGAATGCTTTTCAGAATTCTTGCAAGTTCTCTTCCTTCTTATACCACTAGAGAGTTTTAAAACTTTAGTATTACATTTTATCATGGCCTGGCAGACATTCGTGAATAAGTACTTGTCCGCTTAGAGGTATGATTCGCAGCAAGGGAGATATCATGTCTTATTTGTTTACAAGTGAGTAAATACCTACTATGGTGCTCTGATTGTAGTAAGTGCTTGACAGATGCTTGTTGAACTAGTCCAAATTTAAGGGTTTTTTTTTTGTTTGTTTGTTTCTTGGTTTTGGAGATCCTATTTTCTCTCCTTCTGTCTTTTTTTTTTTTCCTTCACCACGTAGGGAGAATAGCATTGCCAGGTGCACAGTGACATTTTAGATTCTCTGTAGAGTCTTTAGTGTGAAAATTATGGGAAACACATAGCTTATAAATAAAGATACAGGAAAAGTATTTGGGTTTAGTTTTTGTTTAATAAGCCTCTTCTCTGAGTCTGATACCTCCTTGTGCAATACCAGTGGTTTAAGAACATTTTTTACCTTTTTCATCTCACTATCCCAGAGAGTTGGTTGTTGTCACCAAGAAATTGGCAAAAACAGGAATGTTGCTTTCTTACACCAGTGCTGACTTCCTATAATGGCAAAACCTGCAAGATCTGCAGGAAACAGGGAGGAGAATAAGTTGTGATTCCTTTTGATGTGGGGTGTGTGGTGGGGCAAGGCTGATTTGAGGCTGGGTGTCAGAGGCAGAGGAATACTTGCCTTGTCCATAGAGCCTAATGGCAAGTTCACCTAGAAAAGATGCTTCCCCCAAGTTTCACAAGTATCCAGTAGGTAATAAATAGCCTTGTCTCATTTAAAATTTTTACTATAAGAACATTTTTGTCGGGGCTGGGGATTTAGCTCAGGGGCAAAGCGCCTGCCTGGCAAGCGCAAGGTCGTGAGTTCGGTTCCCGGTACCGGAGAAAAAAACAAAACAAAACAAAACAAAACAAAACAAAAAAAGAACATTTTTGTCAATAAAGAAAAGGAAACAAATCTCCCCCTTTGACTCCACCCACCCTGTTGGCAATAATTCCATCATCCAGTGATAACCCCTGTTAGCCTTGCGGAGGGTTAATGCAGAATGGTTTTAATAACTGGCAGGTTCTGGTTTTCCTCTTAGACATTTGTGTGTTTGTGTAAGTTAGAGATCTGTAGTTATTTCTCCACGTACAGAGTTTTTTTTTTTCTTTTGGGGGCCTATGAACTTACTTTAACAGCCTGAACACTGAATTTATTCAGCATATTAACTTCGGAGTCAGTTTTGTTTTGAAATATTTTTCTTGCTTTTGCCCTAACTTTCATCTTCTCATCTCATAATCAAGAATGTTTAGGGGTGTCGCTTTGCTTGTTGCTGTAAAGATTCAGTTATAAAGCTGTAGATAAGGGTACTCCTCAACAGTCATCATTTTCTGAAGACAGCACACAGGTAGCATGAAGTTCTCTCACTGGAGAAGCTATTGTGTGCTCCTTGAGAGTTGTTTCTTTTTGCAGTATTAGGTATTGAACTGAGGGTGTTGTGCGTGCTTCATGTTTATTGAGCATGTGTTACATACTGGGTGCAGAATTAGATATTGTACATACTCACTTAATTTTCACAAAAACGGTTTGAAAAATATGTTGGAATTCTCCTTTAATAGATGAAAAGCTAGATTTTTATCAGCTACCATAGCAATTAAATGGTGGAACCAGGTCTTACCTCATGTAATCTGACTTCAGATCTGTCTCCTGTCCCTCTTGTGACTCTACTCTGGGCCATGTTCTGGTAGGGGAGTGAGCTTGCTCACCATTGTGCTAGATGGGACAAGGTTTGTGTGTAATAGAAAGGGTGAAATTGCTCTGATCTCCAGGGGGCACTTTGAAAATGGGGGGGTTGTAAATAAAATACATGTTTTATTATAAAATCTTGTTTGTTTTCCTTTAAAGGGCTGTAGATTGAAATTTAAAAACTTGTCTAGGTGTAGTGTAATAATCTTTAAATTTCATTTCAGAATAGTAAAGGGGCATTAGAAAATACTTGTTGTAGGAAGAGAGCATTAGGTCTGATAGGGCTGATAGTGTGCTATGAGAGATACCATGAAGATCACCTGGAGTCGGTAAATAATGAAGCTTGATTCCAGACCAAAGAGCTTAGGCACTTGGGCAGTGTGTTCCTGATCTCAGTTTTGTACTCATTCAGTTAGAGTGGTTTCCCTGGCTTTTTCCATTTGCTTATGTGACATGTTGCCCCTGTGGTACTTCCCACCTGTGTGTCAAGGAGAATAAAAGGAGTGAGTGTGTTCATTTGCTGAGAGCTGTGATGCTTTTGGAGCCAATTCAGATCATACAGTTGGGGAGCAGCCTTTCTCTTCTTTGACAACTGTTCTTTCCATCCATATTTTTCTCAGTACCGAGAGGTCTGATCACTTTGCAAATTGCCAAGTACTTGTAGTTTTTATAAGTCCAAATCAACTCCTCAAGTGGCTTTTCTCCAAGAATGAATGTTAGTTGGTATTTGTAGCCAATGAAAGTTAGTGTGCATGGCCAGGTAGTGCTGGGTGGGGTTTGAGTGATTATTGTTTATCTAGGGCAGTGATTGGCAACTAGGAGTAGTTTTGCTCCTCAGAGACCTTTGGAAATCTCTGCAAACACTTTTCAGTCAGCATACTTGAGGAGTGCCACTGGTTAGAGGTCAGGAATGCAACCAGACATCCTGCAGGAGAGGTCAGGGCAGACATCCTGCAGTGTATATAATCAGGACACACTACAACCCAGAATGATTACAGAATGGTCTGGCTTACAGTGATCTGGCCAGAATGATCTGACTATAATTTCAGTAGTGCTTAGGTTGGGAAACCCTGATCTGTGGTTCCTTAACATAGATAAATTTGTGTCTGTGTAGTGTACACTTGCCTATGGGTGGGGAAATGAGTCTTTTCCTAGAGCTTAGTGGGTGTTTATGGTGTTACTTAGGGTCATCTTGCTCACAGACAAGCTTTTACTGCTTTGGAGTGTGTGTTGGATAGTGTGCAGCATGAACTGCAGCAGTGGAACATTCTCAGGAGATGCTTTCCTTTTCAACATGTTGATAGCACTCTTTTCTTGATTTGAACCTAGCAAACCTCACTTGGTTTTGGTTTTTGATTCAAAAATCAAATCTTTCCAGGTCTCTGAGCTTTATCTTTGACCTTTAGATCTTCTTCAGGGATGTTTTCTTTCTGATCTCACATGAGAGTTAAACAATAAACTGAAACATTGATGTTGTTAAAAGCTCATTTCTATTATTTGGCTCTGGTGTCTTGTTTGTAGGATTAGCTGGAAGAAAGGGAAAGTGCATGGGAGATTGGCAGAGAAGATATTTGAACTTTTGTAAGTGGCCGTTGTAGGGTAAGGATGATATCTGGCATTGTGCTAATCGTATAAATGGAGCAGAACTGTAATAAATGTGTCTTCAAGGAAGTTATAAATGAAGTCCAAATCCCAGTATTTGGCTTAGCTTTCCAGCCTATGTGTCAGGAATTTTTAGTAGCATTTGCCTTCTTAATTAGGCTTTACCCAATCTAATATTACATACAATTTGTACACAGAGGTTGCAGAATTGGGAATCAGCCTGGGGTTAAGAATTTTCCACAGGGAATTGATTTGTAGTGAGTCATTCTGTATGTGTAAACATACAGAACCCAATTACTGAGAGAATCACGGAGTGGGGTGAGGGGAGATAGCAGCCAGCTGGGAAGGTGAAATGGGGAAGCTGACTGTAGTGTGTTGGATACATCAGCCATCTGGCACATTGTAGCAGTGTGATTGAGGATATCAAAGGACCATTACCAGGGCTGAGCAGGGTTAAGAGAAACCAACAGGGGATGATGAAATATCCCAAAGCCAGCAACTGGAGAGCCTTTATCTCTCCTAGACCTCAGGGGGAAAGGGAGGGAATAATTCCTGCAAATTTGTGAGAGTTCACCTGAAGGGTTGATAGCCACTATGACCAGTGGCCCTACAGGAAGGGAATCACATATTTTTCCTACCCTTCGATTACCTACTGGAACTTCCATTTGGTTCATCCTAGCTGGAAACCAGGAAATAAGGGAGCCTGGTTGATTTAATTCACAAGAGGGCAGACACAGTGACATTGAAAAGAGGACCTGGAGGAGAATCGGGGGGAACCTAGCATGCTGAAGTTGAGGTCAGGTTAGTTTCAAAAGGCACAAATGAGAAGGTAGTGCTTGAGCGGAATCTTGGAAATGCACGGGATGGCATTGTTACAGAAAATGTGTATTCCCACTGGTTGTAACAGGAGGAGGATAGATTCCAGGGCAAATTGTTGCCACAGCTTTGGCAAGCGCAGGGCCACTTTGTCCCAGTAGTAGCCTTAGAATCTTAATTGCCTTTATGAAGGGCATTGAGAAGCCCTAAGTCCGGTTTTCTTGCTGCAGAAATCCCTTCCACAGTGCCTGTCAGGAGTGACTGCTGAGTTTCCCCGGGAGTTCGCCCTGCTGTTGGAAGGCATTAGCCTGTTTTTCATTTGTTTAAATCACTGAATGTATTCGTTAGGATTAGATTTGCCTATGCTTCTGTATAACAGAAAAAGCTAAAGTAATAGGGGTTTAAAAAAAAGAAATGTATTTCGTTAAAAGTAAGA